CCTTCCTGAGATCTAAAGAACTCAATCCCTAGAAAGTATTTAAGGTCACCAAGTTCTTTCATCTTGAACCTCTCATGCAAATCCTTTCTGACTTGTTTGATCAGTCTTAGACTACTTCCAGTTACTAGAAGATCATCTACATAGACAAGAATGACTACTAACTCTGAATTCATCTTCTGAGTAAACAAAGAATAGTCATAGTGACTTTGAACAAATCCCATATCTATGAGAGCTTCAGTTAGTTTCAGGTTTCACTGCCTAGGTGCCTGTTTTAATCCATAGAGTGACTTATGCAATCTTCACACATGCTGACACTCCCCCTGGCTTGAAAAGCCATTAGGAACATGCATATACACTTCTTCGAGAAGATCTCCTTGAAGAAAAGCATTGTGAACATCCATTTGGAACACATACCATCCTGAAGCAGCAGCTAATGCAACTACAACCCTCACAGTAACCATTTTAGCTATAGGAGAGAAAGTTTCTGTGTAGTCCAATCCTTCTTGTTGACCGTAACCCTTGGCCACCGGCCTGTACTTATATCTCTCCACTTCACCAGATAACTTGTATTTGACTTTAAACACCCACTTGCAACCTATAGGAACCTTGCCAGAAGGAAGAGGAACAATAGACCAGGTGTTGTTTTCTATAAGAGCTGTGATTTCAGCTTGCATAGCCTCAACCCACTTGGGATCCCTACTGGCTTCTAAGAAGGATTTGGGTTCCACAATATCTGAGAATGCAGCAATAGATGCTGTATAAGCATAGGACAAGTGATCATAGGCCACATAGTTTGACATATGATATGCAGACTTATCTGGTGGAACCACATAATGAGCTAGCCACACAGGTGGCTTGGTGGTCCTAGATGACTTCCGGAGTGCTATGGAAGGAGCGATGGTTCACAAGCTAAGACATGATGGGGAATTGGTGAGGATGGAGTAGACTGACCATGATCTTAAGGAACTAAGATAGAAGGAGAGGAAGTCTCAACTTCATCAGTAGAGTTCTGGCTAGATGAGGCTGCAGGAAACTCATCATTAGTAGAAGAAGAATCATCAGAGGAAACAGCTGGTTGTGTAGGTTGTTTTACAAACACCAAGACAGGAAATAAGGGAGAAGCACCAGAAGACATATGCTTGAAAGGGAACACTTATTCTTTGAACACAGTGTCCCTGCTAACAAAGAATCTTTTTAAACACAAATCATAGAGGAAATAGTCCTTCTGAGAGGAGGAATACCCCATATGAATAGCTGGAATTGCTCTGGGCAAAACTTATCCCCTTTCTTCATGGTAGTGGCATAACAAAGGTTGCCAAATACTCTCAGATGATGTAATGAAGTATTTCTTTGAAACAACTTCTCAAAGGGAGATTTGCCTTGTAGTAGTACAGTAGGCAAACGATTTAGAAGATAGACTGCTGTAGAGACACATTATCCCCAAAATTTGAAGGGTAAGAAAGCTTGAAACCTGAGTGCTCTAGCCATGTCTAGGATAGACCTGTGCTTTTTCTCAACAAGCCCATTCTGTTGAGGGGTAAATGTACAAGAACTTTGATGTACTATACCTTGAGTCTTCAACAAGGTCTGCATCTGGTCATTAAAAAACTCTGTGCCATTGTCTGTTCTTAATTTGAGTTAGTGATCAAATTGTGTTGAGGTCATTGCTACAAAGTTTTTAATCACCTAACAGTATCTAATTTAGAATGCAATAAAAATAGCCAAGTATATGGAGTAATCATCTACCAAGGTCAAAAAATATCTCTTGCTATCATGCGTTGGCATCCTATAGGGTCCCCAAACATCACCATACACAATGTCAAAGATATATTTAGAGCAAGAAGAGGTAGTAGGAAAAGGTAGTCTTGATTGCTTGGCTATAGGACACACAGTACAATGATGTTCCTTCAGATGCATATTATGCAAAGCATCTACATATCTTAAGACCTTTAGGGGAGCATGACCTAATCTTTGATTCCACAAAGAAGATACATCACAAATCTTATTGTTTGCTAGATTACTACATTTATTGGTGTCACCTGGAATGGTATGTACAATTGAATATGAATGAGTGCCTTGGTGATTGAGTATTGCTCTGTCTTCTTCCTTGAGATTACCAATCCCCAACACCTTCCCACTTGAGAGTTCCTGAAAGATACAGAATTCAGGGTAAACTGCTACTGGACGTTGCAACTCCTTTTTGAGTTTGGATACTGAGAGGAGATTATATTTAAACTCTTGAATGTGGAGAATGTTCTTAACTTTTTTATCCTTGAAGAAAAAAACAAATACCAGTATGAGTAATAGACACCTATTCTCCAGTTGGTAAATGAACTTTACTCCTAACATTTTCTAGTATTTCATCATACTTCTCCAGCAAGTGCAAACTATGAACCATATGGTTTATTGTTCTTGTGTCTATAATCCAGTTACTATGCATCAAGCTTGTCATAACTTCATGTATACTACCTGTTGTCCCTGCAGTGACAACATTGGCAACGGGTTCAGCCTCCTTATCCTTGTTCGGCAAATGCAGAATCTGCTAGTACTGTTCCTGAGTAAAGACGTGAGCTGGAGAAGTCGGTGTCTGATGTCCTTGACCCTGTGACTCTGAAGTTGGAATACCATAACTTGTCGCACTGTTAGCCCGAGCATTTTGTGCCCTTCATTTTCTCTTTCTTTTGAAGTTAGAAGGATAGCCATGAAGCTTAAAACAGTTCTCTCTAGTGTGTCCCTTATATTTACATTAATCACACCAAACTGCACCTTTACCAAATGAATTTCTAGGTCTATAGCCTCCATTGGAATTACTAATAGTTTATCCTCTACCATTGTATCCACCTGTATAACCTCCATTAGAGTTATTGTTAGTCTGTCCTCCACCATTGTAACCTATAGTATACACCTTATTACTCATCATAGCAGCTTCATTACCCTCAACATATACACATTTTCCATTAATTCTCTGACTCTCCACATTAACTATCATAATATAAGCTTGGTCCAGATTAGGAAAGGGTCGAGTCATGAGGACCCGATTCTTTGCATTCTCATAGGATTCATTTAGCCTTATGATAAACTGATACAATTTCTGTATCTGATAGTGTTCTACATGTTTCCTTGATTGAGCATAACCACAAGTAGGTGGCGGAGTTAAAGTTTCATACTTGTCCCATAACTCTATCAGTTTAGTATAATACACAGACACAGAGGATATGCCTTGAGTTAATGTGGCAATTTCTTTATGCAAATAGCAAGCCCTAGATGTATTATCTTTATCAAATCTTTCCTTAAGATCATCCCACACTGTTTATGCATCGGAAGCATAGATCACTAAACTAAATAAACTTGGTGAAACTATGTTCATTATCCAAGTAAGTACAATAGCATTGCATCTATCCCACAGTTCATGCAAACTAGTATCATATCTGTTTTTCCTACAAGTGCCTAGAACAAAGCCTAATTTGTTTTTACCATGCAACACGATTTTCATAGATCTACTCCAAATAGAATAGTTTTCTGAACCTTGAAGCTGAATAGAAATGAGAACGGAACCTTGAGTATCGGAAGGATGAACGTAGAGAGGATGATTGCGGTCGACGAGTTCTGTAGACACTGAAGCAGCAACAGGAGAACCAACTACCTCTTCATTGATCGACAGTCACAGTAGCAAATGCTTCACCACAATTTTATCAAATTCACACAAATTCAAATACAATCTGACCGCGATTCAACCAGAAAATCAAAAATTCCCAAACCGTAGGTCGAGAGAGCTTTTTGTATTGAAAAATAGCTTGATCAAATCAATGAAAGGATGCTTCGATACAGTTGAATGATTCAAGTTTCCTCATGGCTGAGCTTAAGGAGATCGAGCACCAAACTTTGATACCATGTTAAGGAGCTTCAGCCATGGCAGGACTTGAAGATTCTAGAAGAAAAAGGAATGAGAGAAATGCAATCTCTATTATTAGCTAACAAAGAAGAGGAATGAATAGCTATATAGTACTATCAACTAACTACTGTATTTATACAAAAAATACCAACTAACTAACTAACTATTGTTAGTTATAACTAATTACTCCTAACTAATAAATAATTGGGATCCATTATACTCGACAAATAGTTTCTTAAATAAATTTTACATATTCAGAAACTATACAAAGAAACAATTGTATAAATCAAACTTTTAAGGGTCGTTAGGTTTGAAGAGAAGTTATGCGTGAATTAGTAATGTAAGAATTATGATGCAGAGATTCTATTTTAGTTGAATTTATTGAGTATAGTTGTTAATACACTCATTATTGTATTGTATAATGTAAGCTTTAGTTAGTGTTAGTTAAGTAGTTAGCTTAGTCAACATGTATATATACCGGTACAATTAGTGAAATCAACTAAGAGTTCTCATGTACAGAAATTATGTCATTCTCTTCACTCTCTCTTTCTCTTTCTCTTTCTCTCTTTCTTCTCCTCTCTCAGAACATTCTAGAAAACTCCATGGGAGCTTTGTTAATCTGAGCCTACATGCATAATTGATATGGTATCAGAGCTTGGACATCAGCTCGGATTCCTTCAGCATCTCCAACTCTCATTCTAAATTCATCTGATTTTGTCAATTTCTAGGGTTTTGTCCATTGCCACCCAATTCTGAAAATCATTCCAATAATTGAAGGTCTTAGACCTAATTGAAGACTTTATGCTCCTTAATTTTATTGAATCGGAACCTGCACATGGCTATCGACCAAAATGAAGAGACGACTTCTGGAACGCGCAGAAATGACCAATTGGTCATCGATATAGGTAATCCCCTCTACATTCGTCTTTCGGACAGTCCTTGAGTGACTTTAGTACCAGCTCCGTTTGACGGAACTGGATATTATTCCTGGAGAAGAAGCGTGTTGTGAGGCCTGTCAGTTAAGAACCAATTAGGGTTTATTAATGGGGAATGTAGAAGACCCAGCCCTAATTCGCCTTAATTCCGCCAATTGGAGAGGTGTGATGACATGGTAGCCTCATGGATTCTCAATTCCCTTGCTAAGGAAATCTCTGACAGTGTGGAGTATGTGAATGACTCAGTCGAGTTATGGAGGGAATTAGAGGATCGTTATGACAAAACAAATAGGGAAAAATTGTACCAGATTCAGAAAGAGATTAATGACCTTGCACAAGGATCCTTAGACATTACTACGTATTATACACGAATGAAGAGATTGTGGGAGGAACTGAACACCTTGAGTGCCAAATCTCAGTGCAGCTGCAATTGCACATGTGGAGCAAAAAAAACTATGCATAAGGCAGAACAGGATCGACAACTTATTCAATTTCTTATAGGATTGAATGAGGTCTACACAATAGTGCGAGGAATCATTCTTATGATGAAGCCTCTGCCTTCTATGGCACAGGCTTTCTCTCTATTGATACAAGAAGAAAAACAAAAGGAATTCAAATCTGCTAGTCAACTCAGTTTAGACTTTACTTCACTCCATGTAAATGCAAGTCCACAGCGTCAAAATCCATTTGGAGCCAGGAACTTCAAGACACATTACACAGCCAAAAACAATAATAAGGGTCATCCATTCAGTGACTATTGCAAAAGACCAGGACATACAAGGGAGAAGTGCTATAAGTTACATGGATACCCTCAAGGGAGTTCATACAATAACCAAAACTTCAATCGTGCCAATGCTCAGCCCTATAATCAGGGGATCAACCAGAACCACAAGTTCAATAGAGGAAAAGGATCTGTGGCAAATGTACATGGGACCCCAGCTGATATGATTCATGAGAATGGAGATGAGCAGGACCTGCAAGATGAAATCAGAATGTCAACTTGACAAAAGAGCAATATGGGCAGATAATGAACTTGCTGCAGCACTTTCAAGTAGGATATGCAGGAGGACCTTCCAGCAATGGCAATGTCACCAGTGGTAGTGCCAATTTTGCAAGTATTTTTGTCTGTACTTCTTCCATTGAATTTGACAAACCTTCATGCAAATGTTTTGAATCAAAGGCTGATCTTTGGATCATAGACTCAGGAGCATCTAACCATATGACCTTTAACAAACATGCACTCACTAACATCACTAAATTTCCTTATCCTCTACTAATAAGCCTACCAAATGGATATAGAGTAAAAGTTCTTGAATTTGGAGATGTGATACTTTCATCAGACATTGTCTTACATAGGGTCCTTCATGTTCCATCATTCAAGTATAATTTGATTTATGTTCACTCCCTTGTAGTACACCTTAGATGTATTGTATTCTTTAGTGATACACTCTGCCTGTTGCAGGCCCCTTCGGCGAAGAGGCCTTAGGTGATTGGTAGTAGCAAAGAAGGTCTGTACTATCTTTGTTCTAGATGTTTGAAGGGTAAAAAGACTGTTTTACCATCTACTATTTTAACTTCTTACTGCAATTGTATTCCTGCTCCTAATGTAAATCGTCATGAGTCTCTTAGTCATACTCATTCATGTCACAGTCCATAATCTTTAAATATTCCCATTTAAAATAATAAGAATGAGTCTTCATGTGTGTTTGATAAACATGATATAAATTCTCTGTGGCATAATAGGCTTGATCATGTTCCTTTTGTTAAAATGAGAGGAATATCCTCAATTCTTGCAAAGTTTGCACCAGGGAAACCATTTATTTTCCCTATATGCCCCATGGCAAGATAAACCAGACTTCCATTTCCTCAAAGAACAAGCACCACCTCCCAATTATTTGACCTAGTACACATAGATATATGGGGCCCTTACCATGTATCCACCCATGATAACTACAAATACTTTCCCACACTAGTGGATGACTTTAGCAGATCCACTTAGACTCACCTGTTGAGCTGCAAAAGCAATGCTCTTTAGGCTTTAAAGGCCTTTGTGGCCATGATTGAAAACCAATTCAATACATCTATAATAACCATTAGATCTGACAATGGCTTGGAGTTTACCAGCCATGAAGCCTCCTCATTCTACCAATATAAAGGGATCATACATCAGAAAGCTTGTCCCTATACACCACATCAGAATGGTGTAGTAGAGAGAAAACATAAATATCTTCTTGAAACTGCCAGAGCACTCATGTTCCAGTCCAAACTTCTAACCAAGTATTGGGGAGAGTGCATCCTAACATCCACCTATCTAATAAATAGGTTGCCAACCACTTACTTTAATAACAAATGTCCCTTTGAATTGTTATACCAAAAGAAACCCAATTACTCTCACTTGAGAAGCTTTGGCTGTCTTTGCTACCCCACTATACCAAAGACACACAGTGACAAATTTGAACCAAGAACTACCCCTCATATCTGTGTAGGATATCCATTTGGAACAAAAGGTTACAAGGTACTAAGCCTAGCCACCAAGAGAATACATATCTCCAGAGATGTAATCTTTCATGAAAATGTTTTCCCATTCTCCATAAGTTCTAAAAATGCTTCCTTTCCTGTTGTTCTTAAGACGGTCTCACTTCCTAATTATACTGAGGAAAGTAGTTAGCTTTCCCTTATGAACATTGGACAAAGTCCTGTTAGTGTCACATCTCCAGACATAGAACACCACTCTGAGGCACTTGCTAATGATACACCCTCTCCAAATACCTCTAATTCTTCATCTCCAAGTGATAACAATTTACAGACTTCATCTACACATGTACAGTCAGAAGCACCAGTTTAAGGAAATCCAATAGAAGTCATAAGGCTCCTATCTACCTAAAAGATTATGTTTGTCAATTGCCCAGTAGCGCTACTCAACTGTCCACTACTCCTCAATGCACCCCGTCACTAAATGCCTTATTCTCTAATCACCATCATATCACTCCTGATGCTCTATCTTGTGAAACTCACACTTGGTGCTAAATGTTTGCCATGATAGTGAGCCATCTTCATATGAAGAGGCATGCCTCGATCCTGCATGGCAAGCAGCCATGACACGGGAATTTGAGGCACTCCATGCTAACCATACTTGGGATTTGGTCCCCTTACCAGCTGGAAAACAAGCAATAGGTTGTAAATGGGTATACAAGGTTAAACATAGAGCAGATGGGCGCATTGAGAGGTTCAAAGATAGGTTTGTAGTAAAGGGCTATACTCAGCAGGCTGGGATTGATTATACAGAAACCTTCTCCCTTGTTGTGAAAATGACAACTGTTAGAGTTCTAGTTACAGTGGCTGTTAAGAAGGGCTGAGACATATTCCAATTAGATGTGAACAATGCCTTCCTCCATGGAGACCTACATTAGGGGGTATACATGGAGGCTCCTCCTGGTCTTGTAGTTGGTCAATGCAGTTCAGGCAGAGTGGTATGCAGGCTGAACAAGTCACTATATGGACTGAAACAAGCCAGCAGACAATGGTATGCCAAACTAACCGAGGCATTGTCTTCAAAAGGGTACCAACACTCTGAGAATGATCACTCCCTTTTCTGCAAGAAAACTTCCTCATCCATCATCTTTGTGGCTGTATATGTTGATGATATCATAATCACTGGGACTGACTCAGAAGAGATTGCAAGTTTGAAGGCTTTCCTGGATCAAAAGTTCAGAATAAAGGAATTTGGAAGGCTTCACTATTTCTTGGGTCTAGAGGTCTTATACAAACCAGATGGTATTCTTATTTCTCAAAGGAAATTTGCTTTGGACTTATTGAAGGAATACCAGTGTTTTGACTACAGCAATGTGTCCTCACCTCTTGATCTTGTTGTGAAGTTGAAAGCACAAGAGGGGAATCTTCTACCATATCCTACATACTACAGAAAATTAGTGGGAAAGCTCAACTTTCTCACCAATACTAGGCTAGATATAACATACAATGTGCAACTCTTAAGTTAGTTTAAGCAAGCTCCAAGGGACACCCATTTGACTGCAGCATTTCACCTTCTTAGATACCTCAAAAAGGACCCTACTTTGGGTATTTTCTTCTCTAACAATCCTGACTGTTCAATCAAGGCTTATTGTGACTCAGACTGGGTAGCTTGCCTAGACTTTAGGAGATATGTTTCTGGATACATTATTTTAGTAGGAGACAACTCTATTAGCTGGAAGTCCAAGAAGCAGGAGACTATTTCCTTATCTTCAGCTGAAGCAAAATACAGATCCCTCAAGAAAGTAGTTGGGGAGTTGGTGTGGTTGAGTAGGCTGTTTGCAGAACTTACTCTTGCCCAATCAAGTCCTATCAAGGTGTTTTGCGATGCCAATCTGCCATACATATTGCCCATAATCCAGTGTTTCACAAAAGGACTAAGCACATTGAAGTCGATTGCCACTTTGTAAGGAATAAGCTGCAAGAAGGCTTAATCTCTCTTCATCATGTGAATTCTCACAATCAGTTGGCTGTATTCTTACTAAGGCCCTCACAGGGGTCAAACGTTCAGTTGTTCTAGGCAAGTTTGCTGTAAGAACCTCACTTCCAACTTGATGGGGGGGGGGGGGGGGTAAGGGGGGAGTGTCGCGCCCCCTTTTTCCTCGCGGAGTCCAGGCTTCGACATTTTAGGAAACCTCATTTTCCTTTTAGGAATTAGGTATGAGATTTGAAGAGTCGCCACCTAACGGATTAACGTGCGTTAGGGCACCTAGAACAAATAACTCGTGTACTAGTTTACGTTACTAGAGATTGGGTAAAGGCTCGAAATTATCTTAAGGGGAAGGTGTTAGGCACCCCTCAAGGTCCACAACGTGGGTCCCGGCCAAACACAAATTAAGTGAATTAGACATAAGCAATTTAAACAAATAGAGATTATTTAAACGGGAATAAAGGGGGTCCTAGGTTTATTAGCCTATAGGATCAGTTCTGTGCAATACTCGGTAAACTTTCCTCAAATAGAGGTGTTACGCGTAGCATTAGCGCACAGATCATCATATCCTTTACTACCCCATTACCCTCCCCTTAATTATTATCTAAGCGTTCTAATAGCATTGAATACGTACCCTATGCGTGCATTACCCGTCCCTTTCCTAGGGCCTTGGAGGTGCTTAGGACCTCTAGTTAAGGTGGTTCTAGACTTACATATGGTGCTTAAAAGGAGAAAACTAGGCATCAAACAAAACAGGTAGGACTGTCACATAAGGAGCAGTTAAAGGGGCTCACATTTACCTCCACAAATAAGCAAACAATTGCACGCCTCAAACAAATAGTTTTAAACGATTTAAAGTCCTAGAGCAGGATATCAGATGAGCACAAAATATGCAGCAATTTCATTAAGGCGAGGCAGTAAATACCTAATCAGTTTGCCCACTGATTTTATTACTTCCTGAACCTGGGCAGTTTATAAGCAGTCAAACAAACACAATTTTTGGCAACTTCAGGGTTTTAATTATCCTACAGGCTTGCCTAGGCGATAACCGGCAGGATCCTATAGGTCTGATATCTAAACGTATTATAAACCAGTGACTAGTTTAAACAGGCAGATTTTATCCGTTTAGACCCTGTAGGCATGCTGTCTACGTGCTGAAAATGATCACAAGCATTACAGAAATGATTTTACATGTTTATCTCTATGAGCGTGATATCTAAGTGTTGGAATTGTTTTTATACTAATTCCTTATAAGCATGACGGTTAAGCGATGAAACTGATTTTATATATATTTTCCTATAGGCATGATATCTAGGCGAATAAAGGTGTCAATTAATTGCCAAGTGAGTGCAACAAAATATCCCAGAAACATGATTTCTGATGCACACCTAGAGGTTTTGAAAACATGATTATCGCAAAATGGGTAAACGACCTAGAAGCAAAATTTCTAGGATGAGAATTCAACATATTGAGATAAACCCTATGAACATGGTTTTTAATGCAAATAAATATCATCACAATAGTCCTATAGACATGGTTTCTACC